CTATCATTGACAATTTGAAACAAAAAAAAATCCTCCATACAACCTTTAAGTTTGACGTCATGGCTTCACAGTTCTTCTCTGATTGGCCAGTGGATAAGGAAAATACGGTAGTTAGAATTTCACCTCAGGCCCAAGCTACAAAATGACTGCTGCACAACTGTCTCAAGAACATCTGTTTGTGTCCAACAGCACAAACTGTCCGGTGACTAACTACTAAAGCAGCTTCCATTGTAAACACGACCTGCACAGCTGAGTTACGCTTTGTCTGCGCACACCTCCCTCCCCGACAGTCCGACTAATGACACGTTTGGAACCGTGGCTAATCCATCCTTGGCGTTGTGTTCCGTTCGGCCCGGAGCAGATGCACACGGAGAGTCTCACGTTCGAGAGGCTTTCTAATAGACTGTGACCACATGTGCAAACGCAGGAGGAAGTTCTACTGCTGCAGTTTGGGCTGAATGCCAAGTAGTTACACAAGAATCCATCCCGAGGTCAAGACGACGTGCTGAGGAAGTACTGTTATTTAACTACTGTATATCATATGTCAGTGTGTGTAGATAGATGAAAAACTTCAGTCAACATGTGTATATAAAGTATGAAGCATTTAGTATTAGTGGTGTGGGAATAGTAATGGTAGTACAAATAACCAAAAGTAGTAGTTGTAATTGCAGTTGTTGTACATTTACTTTTTTAGGTGCATTGTGTAACTTTTCTGGTGGAGGGTCAGAAAAATGCAATTCTCTGTGGGCATGTTATTGTTTTATATTAGAGCAGGGGTGTCAAACATACGGCTCGGGGGCCTGATCCGGCCCTCTATGACCTTTAGTCTGGCCCTCAGCTGATTTTCTACTAAAATATTTGAATTATATTTTCTATTAAAATATTGGTAATTTCCTGCGGTGTTTATCACAGCAGCGTCTCCAGCGTCTCTGTACGTGGCCCCTCCCACCAGAGCAGCAAAATGCACGAAAAAAAAATGAGAAAAATAGATGCCGAGTGCAGGATTTTCCAAGAAAAATTAACTTATTTCTATTTGCGTACAAGTTCATGTTTAAACATTGTGTTGAAATTGCTTTTTTTTGTTTTGTTTCAGGTTGTTCATAATATTATAATATTTTGTAAAAGGAAGAGTTCATTAATTAAAAAAGATTTCTGTAACAGATTTGCATTTCTCTGCACAAATATTTGAACTATTTTTGGGGTATATATGACATGAGTTTTCTGATCCAGACTCTTTGGGATCAAAGTATGTTGGATACGGCCCCTGCACCAAAAGGAGTTTGACAGCCCTGTATTAGAAAAATGTTTCACAGTATGGCATTAAACCTTTAGCCAGGCTGGTGCCACCTAGTGCCTCCACTCAATTTCATTTCTCTCCAGGGACCAGATCAGGAATCAATATACAATAGACGGTTTGCAAAAACCCTGGAAGGGCGAGTTCGATCAGCACCAGCCAATCAGCAAAGAGCCATATATTCTTTGTTGGCAACGATTCCCGAGATCGAGGATTTAAAACAGGAACAAAGAGAATGTTTGGTGAATTTATCAAGAGGACAGATGTTATTGTCCTTCTTCCTACGGGATTTGGGAAAAGCTTAATATACCAGTTATCCCCGTTAGCAGCACATTACATATGTGACGACCATATAGCAGCGATTGGTTAAATAAAAAAGTACCCGCCTATCGTCAAGGGAACGAATTCTAACGCTGTGAGGTCAGACGGGTTCTACGAAATGAAACCAGCTGATGAATCAGGCTATTTAACCTTTCTATCTTCATGGAAACCAAACCAGACCAGCTATAAATCCACCTGTAATTGAATAAATGTAAGGTAGATCCAGGCAGAGCAATGACATCTCCATAGAAACTAGCAGGTGACGGACCCCCGACCAAAAAGTTACACCTTTAATAGTATAGTAATAGTAGAAGAAGTTGTAGAAGTTGTAGACTTTCAGATACTAATCAATACTAAAACTAGCACTGAAACTAGACACTAAACTTAAACGAAGCTTTTCTGAGTGGCTTTACAATAATCTTGATCTGTATCAGAACAAATATAAGAGCACATAGACATACAACTGTATACTCTAATATAAGACTGTATATTCTAATATATATATGGTGTAACTGCTCCTGTCAGACTTGTCCTTTTGAACTTAAAATGTTTGTATTAAATCGGCATTGCTGTGATACTTGCGGTTGGAATTCCAAATATGGAATTCCGCTATCACTACTAATTATCATTGTGGTATTGGAATCGGTAGTGAGCATTGAGTATAATCTTGAGGAAATCATCTCTTGAGTAGACTAGAGATTTTTTTTTTTTATCTTATTATCGTGACAACACTAGTTTCTATATAGGAACATCTGAAAAGACTAGAGTTTTGTTTGTTTGTTTTTTGTTAGTATCATGCCTTGACAGCACTAGTTTCTATATAGGAACATCTTTTGAGCACACTAGAGTTTTTGTTTTTTTAAATGTTAGTGTCGTGACAACACTAGTTTTTTTTTTTTTTTTATAGGAACATCTCGTGAGTAGACTAGAGTTTTGTTTTTTGTTTTGTAAATGTTAGTATGGTGACAACACTTGTTTCTATATAGGAACATCTCTCGAGCAGACAGAGTTTCCCTTCTTTCTTGTCTGCGCTGAGTCCATTTGGCCAAGTTTGGAGTGGGAGATACTGGAGGAAGCCGTTACTCACTTGGACTCAGAGCAAATACTTTCAAACGTGAATCATGAACCAAAAGTGACTGATGTAATGGAGTTAAGAGGATTCAGCTAACACAAATTAGCCTAGCATCAGTTACCGAATATAAGGTTTCAATTAGGAGCCACGCTAACGTCACGGCTAACCACATGAGAGACAGTAGGTTTGAACGGTTACGGGTTAGCGCAGGCCACATGCAGTGAAGCTGACTGGCCTCGAATGACTCGGGAAGGACGTCCGTAAACAAACAAATTGAGACGAGCTTGAATTATTCTCTGGAGAGAAGTCCTCCGCTGTGGTAACGGCCCTATCCCGCAATCACAACCATGTGTGCTGGACATTGTCTGGAACCAGTGTGTATATTTGTAGTAGCTGGAACTTCCCTAATATACAGTACGACCAGAGACTGTATAAAGACGTGGACTAAGTGAGTGCGACGTCACCCATAGAGTTCTGCTCCAGTCAAATGAAGCTCATCGAGGTGTCCAGTCAAATGAAGCTCATCGAGGTGTCCAGTCAAATGAAGCTCATCGAAGTCGTTCATAATGGGGCGAAATTGGAGGTAAGTTCCATAGTTAGGATTTTGACCATGAGTATCATATCAACCAAAGAGCCAATGAAGAGCGAGGATGTTGAGGGTAACGCCATTTCTCGCTATTTCCTGCCATTTCCTGCCATTTCCCGCCCACACCGCTGGTTTAGCTGTCAATCAAACCTGTTGATAACACTAGGGAGCGTGATCTCGGCGAAAGAACGCACCTGATTTGTCTGTTATTAATGTTCATATCTTGATTTACGGACAAAATATCAAAATAAAAAGCCCAGGATCATGTGGAGCGGATTAATAAGAACATTTTAAGACCAAAATGACGAGGCTGACAGCAGCAGTTACAGTGAGACGGGCCACATGTTTTCAATAGAAAGTGAAATGGAGCCAGAATGGATAGAGCCAGAATTGATGGAGCCAGAATCGATGGAGCCAGAATCGATGGAGCCAAATCGTGCCCATGCTCACTTCCTATTTTCCTTTATTTACAGTCTATGTATACAACACTGAATGGAAACCACAAATGCAGAAATGCAGGTGCAGTTTTGAATATTCACTTGGTGTTACAAGGCTCTATCTGGTTGAACCAATCAGAACATAGACCAGATTTAAATTAACCAATCACAGTCAGCTGCTTTGGAAAGTTGCTATTCCATCTTTGTTCTGTTACAGAAGACAGCATTTTTGGTCTAAAAAGGATATTTAAACATAAACTTCAGATAGATTTTTGTGTAATTTGAGTCATTATGAACGACTTATATAAAAACAAAGGAAAGTTGAAGTTTTAATCTTATGTTTGATATGTTTTATGCAAGTATAATGCTGTTAGCTGTTTAGCTAACTAAAGAAAACTATTTCAACAAATGAATATCTAAAAATCAGGTGGGTACAATTATAATAATAATTCAGTGTCCAGAAGGAAATCCAGGACACACTCGAGGGACTATGTCTCTCGGCTGACCTGGGAACGCCTCGGGGTCCCCCTGGAGGAGCTGGAGGAAGTGTCCGGGGTGAGGGAAGTCTGGGAATCCCCGCTTAGACTGATTTCCCCACAAGTGGAAGAAAATGGATGAATGGATGCATAAATATCTAATAATCTTTATTTATGACTGAATGGCAAAAGCTATTGCTGAACTATTATTTGGATCATATTTGTAAACTTATGTTTCTGACCATAAAAAGAGCAAGGTTTAATCATTTAAACTTCAATGTTGTCAAAATGTTGGACTTTTAAATATGTAGCATATTCATATTTAATAAAATTAAGTTGATCACTGGGACAAAAGTTGTTGTTTTTGGCATGTTTTGTAGATAGAACCTTATAATTCCAAAAAAAAAACATGTGTTCTGCCAAAGATCACTTCCCAGAACATCCACTTTCTCAAATGTCTCAAATATTCTCAGTTTAGAGTCTCCTGGGGGTGACCTAAACCCTCATGTATCAGATCAGTGTATCCCCTCTTTTATTTCTGCTGTACAAGTGGACAAAACTTTAAACTTAAACATCTCAGAGGAACCAGAACACACACAGAACCTTCTAACTCTAAGGGAACACATTTCTTTAAAATGTAAATGTAACTGATCCTGCCCACATCAGTCTATAATTCGCTGCATGTATTTGGCGGTGGTGACAGATTCTGGCTCGTCTCTGGTTTCTATCATAATACGAGCTGACATGTAAAATGGCAAAGCAAAAACTGGTGTCAACACATGCGAGAACCCGGCGCCTGAATAACTGCGGTCACCTGACAGAGTGAAGCCGGACTGGTGCAGGTTTCTGAGGGGCTGTTTGGTGGGAGAGGTGCGGGCCGAGGCCGATGGCGTTCCACCGCGAGACAGAGAATACTCGGATACCGGTCCGTCGTACATGCCCCTGGGTACTGCCTTCAGGACGGCCATCTGAGGAGGAACAACACAACAAAGAAGCAGTTAAAAAACAAGAACAGATTATATTTGTGGTGACACCTGTTTAGTATTACGCAGTGTGTTGAGTGACGGGAATGCATGTGGTTTTTTTGTAGAATTCCTGTAAAATACTTAAGCCAGATTGTATTTAGAAAAACATGTGTCTGTGCTAAAGGTCCTAATATTACACAAAATGGACTCTTGTGCGCTGCAGGCCATGTTATAACGCTGTTACCTTATCAAAAACATACCTGCAGTTGCCTTTTGTTTCATTCACACATTTATTTTATTAGTATATCCACATCTCTAATGCTGAAAATGCTCTATTCCACCTTGTGATGTCATGCAGTGGTAGTTTTAACAGCTACTTTTTACTTTTAATTGAGTAGAAATTGACAAATCCAGAGCTGAAATTATCCAAATGATTCTACTGAAGGTGTATGGAGTTTAAAAACACAGTGAAGCACTTCCTGTGTCACCACATGACATCACAAGGTGGAACAAAGTGAAGAGAGAAGAACTAAGTCTAAATGTGCAGGGTTTGTGTGTGAAACATGTGTGAATGAAACAAAAGACAACTCCAGCTCTGTTTGTGATGAGAAAACTACATTATAACATAGATCAGTTATTAGGGTTGTCAAAAGTATCAAATCAGATACTAGAATCAAAACTAGATACTCATTTGAGCAGGTGTCGATACAAAAAAGTAAAAGTCACATGCACAGGACAGAAATGAAGTCTTCCTGAATAGCTTTAGAATGACTCAACACCACAATTGTAAGAAAGTGCTAAGAATTCATGTTGAAAATGACTTTCTATTCTAAATAACAAGTAACAGAAATTGATTCAGGTGTTGGTAGGTTTAGTGTAGTTGAATCTACACCAAGTTCACCTCGAGCCTTTCCTGGCCGACCCAAAGCCGCCTTGGAGGAAGTGCGCTCGCGGGGGCCAGCGACACCCGGGGAAAGGTCCCTCAAGGGGATACTCCCACACCAAGCGGTCGTCCCTTTATCGGTGGGTCGTCCCCACTCGTTTAACCTCAGAACGGTTTCACGCCCTCTTGAACTCTCTAACGGTACTTGTCGACTATAGTTCTTGTGCCAGTATTTAGCCTTAAATGGAGTTTACCATCAAAAAGTTACCAAAGTAACAAGTAAAAAGTTATTTTCTATAGAGGGTAACTAAGTAAAGTAAGGGATTAATTTTTAAAGATGTAACAAGTAACAAGCAAACAATACTTTTTAAAATGAGCTCTACCACTATCACCACTACTAACTCTCTATTGAAACATATTTGCAAAAAGCACTACAACTATTACAACAATAAAACTGACTATTAAAGTAACTCTTCTGGAGGAGGGTCATTCAAATACTTTTCTCCATGGAGATGCTATTGGGCTCGGTCAAGCAGAAGTAAACAGCAAAGCCAAAAATTCAAGTTAATGCATCTGATACAAAAATGTATTCAACAGATACATATGTACTCTAGTTTATGAAACTGTTTACCTTTTTCTGTACCATTTTTGGTTCTAAAGTTACATATGTTTTAAACAGACCATGTATGAAACATGGAACAAAAATTATTTCCCAAATTTCAAAGACCTGCAAATCATGTAAATAAATGGATGTATTTCATCATATCTTGTGTTATTCAATTTTTGAACTGTTGATGAAGGTACATGATTTAAAAAAAATAAAATAAAGTATTTAAAATGATAAAATTAGCTTGGAAGGACTGACATATTTTATAGAAATAGTTTACCCTTTCATTTTGAAGTAATATTAAAGTATTCGGAAGAAAAAAGCAACAAATGATGTAAAATCGTGCACCTTCTACTTGTTTTCACAATTTTCCCTCCGTTACTTTTCCCTCCGTTACCATGACCTTTCTTAATAAAAAATCTCATTACTCAAAAAGTAAGAGGTTTTTCAACCTAATCTTGTACCATATGGTAGAAAACTATATGAAGCAAATATTCAAACCAGTTTGTTAAGGATATGTAAGTGAGAACCAAGAGTTATCACTGTTTGTATTTATTGCCCAAAAAGTGCTGCATATTTCATTCCCTCCGTTACCAACATGAGTTTTAAAATTTTTTATCAACAACTTGAAAGAATATCACAGGTTTAACTTTACCCTGTTGGAGTGTAACTCTTTCCTACATTCTGATACTTTACTTATTTCAATAGTCCCTCTAGTTTCTTAATAAGAGCTATTTGAATGTAAAAAATCTGTCCCTGTTTCCCTGTGATATTAAACATTTCTATCTTCATGGAGACCAAACCAAACCAAATTTCAGGTCAGATCTGTGGAGAGGCGACACTGCTCACAGTCAGAATGTCTGTTTTTCTAGGTAGTTTTGAGCTATAAAAGCACCTGTAATTAAATAAATGTAAGGTAGAGCTGTTGAATGTCACACTGTGGAACAAGTTACACAGTGCAAGTTTAAGGGTTTCAGCTTCCATTTTTATTGGTGACATTTTGATGACAATATTAAATTTGTAAATGTCGACTGTTAATGGAAAGGTGCAAATTTTTAATTACGCTGAAACCCATGGAAAACTGACTTCCAAGGGTTAGACTGTGTTCTCCTTAAATACTGTTACTGTAAGATAATGTTGCTCGAAGACTCTACCAAATGCTGACATATTTAATAAAAGTATGACTTGAGAAAAAGTAAAAAGAGGGACAAATTTTGGAGTATTTGCAACAAGGTACTACAGTCATCGAAATACAATAGGTGATAACATGGAAATACAACTAAAAAACATACTTCTTTTTTGTTTTGTTTTTTTATCTGTCCAGGCAGAACCGCACGCTTTGACCAAACTTTACAAACACGAGTCGATTTGAAGCTGTATCCTGTCTCCCTGATTTCAGAGGGCGTGATTGACAGGCGGATTAACCAATCAGAGAGCCGCAAGTTCTGTTCGCGTCAAAAAACAAACATGACTACTTACATGTAAAAAAAAAAATGAGAAAAAAACAACAGAGAGAACTGAGAAACACCAAACTATTACTTATCTGAGGTGACAGAACTACCACTTGATGACATCACAAAGTTCATAGCCGTGTTATAGTGCCCCGTAGAACCTGACTTCATCTCTGGCCGCCAATCAGGAAACACTAACATGTGGAGGTCCGTGTGACATAAGGCAAACACTAAAAACTGACTTTAGAGTGGTCAGAGCTTATAAATCCAATCAAATGCATGTGATTTTGTTTAACGTGATTTAAGACCTGAGGTGGTTCTTCCATTACAAACTCAGACCACTGCCCAATAAAACCAAACGTATGAAGTCATGGACCTCCAATAAGTCACTGTGGTCACTGGAGGAGACATCCTGGTTTAAGAGGAGATATCATTTCAATGGAGAAAAACAGGAAATACTACGACTGCCACCACTACTACAACGACAATTTACTATCTCACAACTACTAACTCGACCACTAACACTACTACTAAATCTGGTAACACTTTATAATAACTACACATTATTTAGCCTTAATAAAGCATGAACAAAGACTTAATTAATAATGATTCACGCTTAGTAACTACTTAATTACTACCTGAATTAGCACTTAACTTGCACTTAATTCGCCTGTGCTGTAAATAGTTACTCAATACTTCTTAATTACTCATGAACTAACCATTTGCATGTTTACAAATGCATATTTAAGTTCACATTTGAGCATTTATTAATGATTAATAAGCTATGAGAGAATGATTTACTAATAATGCAATGCAATGATAATTAAGGCAGCTGTTATCTGTTAGTTAAGTCTTTCTGAGAGTTTTTCTAAAATGACGACTAATTATGCTTTATTAAACATTTGTTAAGGTTGATCAAATTCCAGAGAAACAATAATGCATTATTAGTAAATCATTCTCTCATGACTTACTAATCATTAATAAATGCTCAAATTTGTACTTAAATATACATTTACAAATGCAACACAAAATGGTTAGTTCATGAGTAATTAAGTAAGAAATACTTATGAGTAACTATTTACAGCACAGGTGAATTAAGTGCAAGTTAAGTGCTAATTCAGGTAGTAATTAAGTAGTTACTAAGTGTGAATCATTATTAATTAAGTCTTTGTTCATGCTTTATTAAGGCTAAATAAGGTGTAGTTATTATAAAGTGTTACCCTAAATCTATTACTAATACAAACTCTACCACCACTACTACTACCTACTAACTACTATCTATACCACTAACACTAACATTACTACTACCACTACTACTAACTGTATCACTACCACCACCACTACTACTACTACTACTAATAATAATAATAATGCATCAGTTTTATATAGTGCTTTTTTGGACACTCAAAGACAGAGCATTATTCATTCACTCCATAAACTACTATTGGTGGTAAACTACTATTGTAGCCACAGTTGCCCTGGGGCAGACTGACAGAAGTGAGGCTGCCAATCTGCGCCAACCACCACCACCATCACTCACACACACACACCACTTTCATACTAGGCAATGTGGGTGAAGTGCCTTGCCTAAGGACACAACGACAGTTTTTGCGACTGGCGCCCCCCTGTGGCACCTGATTTTCCCAGCGGTCTCCCATCCAAGTACCCGGCTATAATACTACTAACTCTACCACCACTACTACTACCACTACTACTACTTACTAACCACTTACTAACTACTAACACTCTACCACTAACACTAACATTACTACTACTACTATTACTACTAATAACTCCACTACTACTAACTCTACCACTACTACTCCTTCTTCTACTACTACTTACTAACTACCTACTAACTACTATCTCTACCACTAAAACTAACATTACTCATACTACTACTAACTCTACCACTACTACTAACTCTACCACTACTATAACTCTACCAACTACTATAAACTCTACCACTACTACTAACTCTGCCACTAACACTACTACGACTACGACTAACTCCACTACTACTAACTGTACCACTACTACTACCACTACCACTACTACTACTTACTTACTAAGTACCTACTAACTACTATATCTAACACTAAAACTATAAAACTAACTTTACTACTACCACTACTACTACCACTACCACCACCACTACTACTAATTTTACCACTACTACTACTTACTAACCACCTACTAACTGCTAACACTCTACCACTAACACTAACATTACTACTACTACTATTACTACTAATAACCCCACTACTACTAACTCTGCCACTAACACTACTACGACTACGACTAACTCCATTACTACTAACTGTACCACTACTACCACTACCACTACTACTAATTTTACCACTACTACTACTACTACTACTACCACTACCACCACCACTACTACTAATTTTACCACTACTACTACTACTACTACTACCACCACTACCACCACCACTACTACTAACTTTACCACCACCACTACTACTACTACCACTACCACTACCATTACCACTACTACTACTACCACTACCATTACCACTACTACTACTACCATTACCACTACTACTACTACTACTACCACTACTACTACCACTACCATTACCACTACTAGTACTACCATTACCACTACTACTACTTACTACTACCACTACTACTACCACTACCATTACCACTACCACTACTACTACTACTACCACTACTACTACTACTAATTACTTACTACCTACTAACTACTATATCTAACACTAAAACTAACGTTACTACTACCACTACTACTAACTCTACCATCACCTCTACTACTAACTGTACTACTACTACCACCACCACTATTACTAACTGTACCATCACCACTACTACTAACTACTAACTACTAACTTTACAACTACTACCACTACTACTACTACTACTACCACTGCCATAGCCTCCACTACCTAATAACTGAGTATCCAATAAGGCTTAGGATATTCATAAAGCATTCAAGACACCATAATACTACTACTACCACTACTACTCCTACTGAGGTGACTACTACTACAAGCTACTACTAATTATGACTACCACTTACAAGTACTTACAGTCACAGCTTCCACTACCTAATAACTGAGGCTATTTCAGGACATTTATAAAAGTTTCATATGAATAAGTCACCACCACCGCACACACTTGGTTTTATTAGTGACCCCCGATGGAAAAGCCCCATAGCAACAATAAATCACACATTCAAACAGAAGTGCAAGCTTTAGTGGACGTTAATGCAAATCGAACACCACAAAGTGACTACATCTATGAACATTTCCTCTCCGCGGTGGGTCTCACGGAACTTTCTTCTCTACATCTTTAACGACAAAAGCAGGACCACCTTCGCTGTTTTGGACCCGGAGCAAAAAGTCCAGCCAGGATCTGACCACAGGACTCCGGGGACTACTGTCAGGTATCACTCTCACACCACTTCACTTTTTGTAGTACTATGAGGAGTTGAGATCAAGTTGAGCTCCTAGTAATGCTGTTTTTTCTACTTCTGACCTTAAAGGGCCCATATCACTGAACTACTATAACGTTATAATAAGCTGGAGTTGTGTTTGTGTAAGTTCTTCTCTCAGACAGAAAACACTCTGTTCCATTTTTGATGTTGTGTGGTAATACAGGAAGTGCTCCATTGTGTTTTAAAACTTCAATCCATACAATACACCTTCATTAGAATCATTTGGATACTTTCAGTCTTGGAATTTCCAATCTCTACTAAACTAAAGGTAAAATCTGGCTGTTAACTTGAAAACTACCACTTCATGACATCACAAAACACAACTCCAGCTGTATTTTTGAGGAGGTAACAGTATTATAACATGGCTTAAAGCTCACAAGAGTCCATTTTGTGTAATATAGAACCTTAATAATACATCTTCACTAGAATCATTTGGATAGTTTGTAGTGTAGTTGGCGTGGTACGGGGGGGGTACTCCGTCCACCCACTTCTCCCGACGTGAGACATAAAAAAATAACAAATATAAAATAGCTACAACTTAAATGCAAATCTGGAGCTATTGGCACTGGTGAAAACAACCTGCATAGACTCATGATATCTGCACTACTGTCTTATAGAGACCTGAGACATGAGGAACCAGGACTGAATCAGGACAGAACCAGCACTGAATCCAGGTCTAAAGAAGGACTAAACCAGAACTGAACCAGGACTGAGTGTCGGGAAGGGCCCGGAGGTGCTTCCACGCAGATCATCGGGTGATTGCAGGTAGAAGGACCGGCGCAGAGCTCAGCGCCCACGGGGCTAAGTGCAGGTTTAGACCTGGTTTAGTTGTGCTTTAGTCCTGGTTTACATCTGGTCTAGATCTGGTTTAGTCCTGGTTCAGTCCTGGTTTAGTCCTGGTTTAGACCTGGTTCAGATCTGTTTTAGTCCTGTTTTAGTCCTGATTTAGTCCTGGTTTAGTCCTGGTTCAATTCTGGTTTAGTCTTGGTTTAGTCCTGGTTCAGTTCTGCTTTAGTCCTGGTTTAGTCCTGGTTCAATTCTGGTTTAGTCCTGGTTTAGTCCTGGTTCAGTCCTGGTTCAGTTCTGGTTTAGTCCTGGTTCAGATCTGTTTTAGTCCTGTTTTAGTCCTGGTTCAGTCCTGGTTTAGTCCTGTTTTAGTCCTGGTTCAGTCCTGTTTTAGTCCTGATTTAGTCCTGGTTCAGTCCTGGTTCAGTTCTGGTTTAGTCCTGGTTTAGTCCTGGTTCAGTTCTGGTTTAGTCCTGGTTCAGTTCTGGTTTAGTCCTGGTTTAGTCCTGGTTTAGTCCTGGTTCAGTCCTGGTTTAGTCCTGGTTCAGTTCTGGTTCAGTCCTGGTTTAGTCCTGTTTTAGTCCTGTTTTTGTCCTGGTTTAGTCTTGGTTTAGTCCTGGTTCAGATCTGTTTTAGTCCTGGTTTAGTCCTGGTTCAGTTCTGGTTTAGTCCTGGTTTAATCCTGGTTCAGTCCTGTTTTAGTCCTGTTTTAGTCCAAGTTGTAGTCTATGATTTATATTCTGTAGATGATTATTGAGCGGCGTTAATATTAACATGATTCCGCATCATTTTGAGTAAAAAACATCAAATATTAACCACGGGGGGACAATGAGTTCATTAATTTCGTAGCCCCACTTAAAAAATCCCCACCACACCACTACCTAAAAGTGGAAAAGGACCTTGAAAACTACCACTACATGACATCACAAAGTGGAACAGAGCATTTTGAGCTTTGGAGATAAATACTCAAACACGTGTGGGTATGTTTCCGATGAGGTAATGTGGCTTAAAGAGTCAACTTTGTGATAATATAGGACCTTTAATAACTTGGATTTCCCCCCTATTTTTATTTTAATTAATTTATTTATTTATTTTATTTTGCCACTTTGCAGTTCTCCAGTACCTGTTTCCGGGCCTTGATGCGTTTGTAGGTGAAGTCTGGGTAGGGGGAGCAGGGGATGAAGCGTCCCACCCCAGAGGAGGCGTGGAGGTTCCCATCCTCCACCACGATCTTCCCCTGACACACCACCACCTGAGGGGCCCCGCGCAGCTCCAGGCCCTCCAGGATGTTGTACTCTGCAGCCTGAAGAGAGACGGAGAAAGAGAAGGTTTACTATAGCAGAAATGTAAACCAACTTGTATCAAATTACTAGTCTCTTCCCTTAAATAAAGATTTATCGTGCGGCAAAAGCTAAAATAACTGAGGGAACTACATAGACCATGATCCTTTGCTCTGTTTTATTGCAGAGTACAAGAAGAAATAACAGTCTAAGCACTTTTAAATCTTAGTTCTTTGGGTTAAGTCTTGACAAGGCGTTTTAAGAAGAAAAAGTAACGTATTCACAGTTTTGTTGGCCTCCACAAAATATTGCAATAAATAATCGTACAGAGAGATCTGGATATTGTTACATTCCTACACATTTTTGAATGATTCTTGAACCACATTTCAGGTGAAGAAAGGAAATAATATAAATATACTGAATTTTGTCAGTATTGCCTAGAGCAGAGGTGTCAAACTCATTTTGGTCCAGGGGCCATATCCAACCTATTTTGATCCCAAAGGGGCCGGATCAGAAAACTCATGGCATATGAACCTCAAAAATAACAATAAGTTCAAATATTTGTGCAGAGAAACACAAATCTATTACAGAAATCTTTAATTAATGAACTCTTTCCTTTACAAAATATTATAATATTATGAACAACCTGAAACTTTAAGAAAAATGCAATTCAACACAATGTTTTTACATGAACTTGTCTGCATGTCATAGAATTTAGTCATGCTTTCTTTTTGCCCCTGAAACTTGGCCTCTTTGAGCCTGTACAAGTGCATCAATATCAGGCACCATGTCCTGAGGAGCTGCTGTCTTCAGAATGTCATTCAAGTGCTTGTGTGTTTAGCTTTGAGCGCAGCTTTGTTTTATTAATGTTCATTACTGAGAAAACCCGCTCACAAAGGTAGTAACTGTAAATCTATTATTTCTAGTTGCATGTCTGTGCAGAAAATTGCAAATTCTGTCTTCAGGTTTTAAAGTATAATTAAAATATTTTAGTAGAAAATCAGCCGAGGGCCAGATTAAAGGTCTCCGAGGGCCGGATCTGGCCCCTGGGCCGTATGTTTGACACCCCTGGCCTAGAGTGAAATTGTGTTTTCATTCACACTAACACACAAATCCTGCATATTTAGGAGAAACAGAAACAGACAACACTCTGTTCCACTTTGTGATGTCATGTGGTAATACAGGAAGCACTCCACTTGTTTTTAAACTCCGTACACCGTTTCCTAGAATCCAGAGGTGGGGATTTGCAAGTCGTGAATTGGAATCCAGTCAGACTTGAGTCACTATTTTTAGGACTTGAGACTGGACTTGATAAAATGGACTAAGGCTACGTTTCTATGATGAAGGTCTGAACAGAAGACGCAAAACCGGCGTCGCGTCTTCACTTTTTATTCCGCGTTTAGACGAGCGTTTTCAGGAGGAAATCTGAGTGCATACGGTGAGACAAAAGTGTGTGGAATTGGATTGTGTTTGCATGCCAGACGGCTAGATGGTGACACGAGGTGGTGATGTATGTGACGTAAACCCGTACGCGACGTGAGCAGATCTGACCAGAGTTTTGCGTCTTGGGCAGTGCAGACGGAAACGGTACGGTGGAGCATATTTTTGCGTTTTTAAGCCACAAAAACACCGTCACCATCTAAACGAAAGCCACTTCTGATAAAATATTTGTCATTTTACCCACAAATGTTCTCGTGTAAACCGGACCTATGACTTGGAACTTCACTCGAACTTGAGGCCTGTGACTTGAGAAAATTTGAAAAGCACTTTTAAATCTGAATTCTTTTGATTCTGACTGTAATGATTCACACTGAGATCTTGTCAAGACATTTTAAAAGGAAAAAATAACATTTCTACAAGTCTTATATACTCTATAAATACTCATATATAAAATAAATATACTATGATTTTTTTTTAAGTACAATTTGTCTTAAAATTCATATAAACTGCAAAAATCTAAACTATATTTGGTACTTGGGTTTAAAGACTTGAAATGACTTGAAGCTCAAAGCAGACGACTTGGACTTGACTTGGACTTATGGGCCAGTGACTCGAGACTCGACTTGGACTTGCCAGTATTTGAATTGGGACTTGACTCGGACTTGAGACTTGCAAAACAATGACTTGGTCCCACCTCTGCAAGAATCATTTGGGTAATTTCAGCCCTGGAATTGTCAATCTCTACTGAACTAAAGGTAAAAAGGAGCTGTTCACTTGAAAACTACCTCTTCATGACATCACAAGGTGGAACAGAGCATTTTGACCTGTGGAGATGTAGACAGACTGATTATAAAAGGTTACTAAACTATGTGTGAATGAAACAAAACACAACTAGGGTCTTTCAAACAGCTGGTATTTTTGCATTTTGTGGTTCTTTTTTTTTTTTTGTCCACCCCACAGCGAAAATTATTCATAGGCCAGCAGCTATTTCCAAGCCCAAATATTTCCAAACACATTATCTGTCAATGACAACCCCTCCTCAGTCACACTCTATTCCTTCAAAGAGTCTTGCCAAAGGACACAAAAGTAGTACAAACTGGAGCAGGAGCTTTCAAATACCATGTAACACCAAGAACATTTATAGCCACATAAAACAAACTCTTTTTTGTTTCTTAAAGGTGACGTAACGTTCTGGCGGTTGTGCGCACGGAGACGATTTCGCTTTGGCCGGAATGTCCCGCAGTGAAGCGTTACACTTGTATATCTCCATGGAGACCGGCAGGCGACGCGACCGGGCCAAGTTACAAATAGTATCGAAATGATGCGCCGGATCTGCTCTAGTCATGAGTCATTTGTTTTTGACTTTACTCCAGCATTTGAGTTTACGGAAACAACTTCACTTCATGACATCACCAGGTGGAACGGAGCATTCTGAGTAGAGGTCGTGAAGTGTGAATGAAAGAAAACACAACTCCGGGTTTGGTTTTGAAGAGGTAACAACATTCTAAACATGTCTTGAAGCGTCATGTCGGGCCTTTAATATAAAAATAAATCTTGTACACCCCGCAGACTTTTCAACATGAAGTGCAGAACTGACCCAAATGATACTCTTTGCCATACAAATTCATTAGGCACCTATTTCCACATGGTATGGGAATGCCCAGGTTTTTTTTACTTTTGGAAGGTAATAAGTAATAGTCTGTCTCTTCTACTATCTACTATCTCCTCTCGCCCTGCCCCCCCTCTCTCTCCTCCCTCTTTCCTCCTCCTCTCTCTCTCCCTCTCTCCTCTCTCCTCTCTCCCTCTCTCCTCCCCTCCCCTCTCTCTCTCTCTCCTCTCCCCCTCTCTCTCCTCTCTCTCCTCTCCCCCCTGTCCACTCTCTCTCTCTCCTCTCCTCTCTCTCTCTCTCCCTCTTTCCTCCTCTCTCTCTCTCTCCCTCTCTCTTCTCTCCCTCTCTTCCCTCTCTCTCTCCCTCTCCCTCTCTCCTCCTCTCCTCTCTCCCTCTCTCCTCTCTCTCCTCTCTCCTCTCCCCCTTCCACTCTCTCTCTCTCCTCCTCCTCTCTCTCTCTCTCCTCTCTCTCTCTCTCCCTCTCCCCTCTCTCTCCTCCCTCTCTCCTCTCTCTCTCTCTCCTCTCTCCCCTCTCTCCTCTCTCTCTCTCTCTCTCTCCTCTCTCTCCTCTCTCTCTCTCTCTCTCTCTCTCTCTCCTCTCTCTCCCTCTCTCTCTCTCTCTCTCTCTCTCTCTCTCTCCCTCTCTCCTCGACTCCTCTCTTCCCCTCTCTCCTCTCCCCCTGTCCACTCTCTCTCTCTCCTCCTCCTCTCTCTCTCTCTCTCCCTCTCTCCTCTACTCTCCCCCCTCTCTCTCTCCTCCTCTCTCTCTCTCCCTCTCTCCTCTCGCCCTGCCCCCCTCTCTCTCTCTCCTCCTCTCTCTCTCTCTCTCCTCTCCTCTCTCCCTCTCCCCTCTCCTCTCCCTCCCCCTCTCTTCTCCTCCTCTCTCTCCTCTCTCCCTCTCTCCTCTACTCTCTCTCTCCCCTCTCTCCTCTCCCCCTCTCCCTCTCTCTCTCTCTCTCTCCTCTCTCTCTCTCCTCTCTCTCCTCTCTACTCCTCTCTCTCCCCTCTCTCCTCTCTCCCCTCTCCCCTCTCTCTCTCCTCTCTCTCTCTCTCTCTCTCTCTCTCTCTCTCTCTACTCTCTCATTCTCTCTCTCTCTCTCTCCTCTCTCCTCTCCCTCTCTCCTCTACTCTTCTCTCTCTCTCTCTCCCTCTCATTCCCACTCTCTCTCCTTCTCTCTCCCTCTCATCCCTCCTCTCTCTGCCTCTCCTTCCTCTCTCTCTCTCATTCCCCCTCTCCTTTCTCTCTCTCTCTCCCTCCGTCTCCGTGATGCGTGCTGGTCCCTCCTTCATTCCATTGTGCTTCATTTCCGTTGTTGTGCTCTCAGGCCCGAGTCCAGCTTTAGTCCAGAACAGGACATGTGCTGAGCCGAGCCAAATATGATGTCAGCCGGAGGGAGCGTGTTTTGTCTCCCGCTATCTCCTGCGAGTATTTGGGTTCACTACAGGAATAGCCCGCGCAAAAAAAAAAAAAAAAAAAAAAAAAAGCATAGCCTGAGCAGATGTGTTTTCCAGCAACAAACACCCGCGCCGTCTTAAAGAGCCTCAAGAAATGATTTTTATCCACAGATCCGAGTGAAATGTGTCAGATTTACAGATATGTTCTAGGAGCGACTCTCGAGGTCAAAATAAATCCATTGTTTTGTTTTGTGCGGAGAAAACTGGAGAAGTACAGAGCTCCAACATACTGATGACATCACACTAGGGAGAATTCTGTCCAAAAGTTCAGCACAGTTTACACGTAAGAATAGGAGTGGGTGAGATCTCGATATTTTAAATATATCGAGATATTTTTTAAACTCGATATGGATTCTGACTAGTGCTGTCGAGCGATTAAAAAAATTGAGAGCTGAATTAATTATGATCTGTAATTAATTAATTAATTAATCTCTTTTTTAATCTCACCTAAAAATTGCTGAGAAAAGCCTCAACATGACGTATTTTCATTTGAATTCATTATTACATTATTTTCATACT